CTTACTGTTCAGACGTTTAAATTTTTTTTTTAAATGATTCTGGATTTAGCAAAATGCTGGCTTGTTCAAACGGCTAAGTTTGAAGACATTGAAAACTCCTGCTGAAAGAAAAATCAATCTCATATCATGTTTTTGAGTTAAAATATGTGTTTATACATGTTATAAAAAACAACCTCTGGCTCCTTGAACTTGACTGTGCTTGCAGCTAACCTCTGGATGTATCATGATACATACACTGACATCATATTGTGAATGATCAGAAAGTACCTACCTACATTGATCTTTGGGGACGTATGTGGTTTTGGCAGCTGTGGGCATCAACTTTTCCATAATCCTCCAGTTTAATGTCAGTGCTTTTAACACTCTGCATAAATGAATCCTATTTGCGGTATAATGTCACAGGCATAATGCTGCTGTAAGACAATGAAGACAATTTCCGTTGGTTCCTGTCTCACATAGAATAAGAACCTCCATGTCAACAAGTACAGTGAGGGAAGTAAGAACCACTGAAAACAGCAAAACTTCTGCTACAGCAGTCAGGAGTGCATTCTAGGAAAGAAGTTACCAAAGAAGCTTGCCAGTGCTGGCTCCTTTACACTCAAAGTGGTTCTCTCCAATTGGCGCGTTCTTGAAAACCGGATACAAATTCAACCAATTTTGGAGGGACAGAATAACAACCAATCATCAGCCAGATGTAACAATTAATTATATGCCAGGTAAACAGTACATCAAAGAATTGAAAATGTTGCCACTGAGGTATATACAGGAAGTGATCAGGGAACTGATGTTGGGTACCTGCTGAGCACAGCTGTGTGAGGAGCTCTCAGGTTCTCAGCATCATCTGGACAGTTCACTCTGCGTGTTTCCAGTAGCTGTGTTTCTAGTGTGCCCAGACACCCTCTCCCTTAGTGCTTCCCAGCAGTGACTTGATGCTTTGTTGTTGCTGTGGTTTTGTTTTGTTTTGTTTTGCTTTCCTTTGATTACTTTTCCTTGAAATAGAAATTCCTAGCTATCTGTAAGAGTAATAGTGCACTTATTTCTGTTGATAACTTCCTTATACAGCCATATTTGGCCACAATGATTTGGTCCCATCTCAGTATTCCACAAAAAGAACAAGAAGTATTGTTCATTCTTTGTGTGGGTGCCTCGGAAGGGATCACTGAGGTCCACTGTGCTGTCATGAAGCAGGATAAAGCACCCATTGTGTTGATACACTCATTACCCTTGCTTTGATTCTCTGTTGACCAGGTTAATACCATCCATTAAAATACAACCTTGTGGGTCCAGTGCGGTGGCCTAGTGGCTAAAGTCCTCACCTTGCATGCTCCAAAATCCCACACAGGCACTGGTCTATTCCTGGCAGCCCTGCTTCCCATCCAGCTCCCTGCTTGTGGCCTGGGAAAGCAGTCCAGGATGGACCAAAGTACTGGGATGCTGCACCTGCTTCGGAGACCCAGAGGAGTCTCCTGGCTCCTGGCTTCAGATTGGCTCAGCTCCAGCTGTTGCAGTCACAGGGGCAGTGAATCACATAAGAGATGAGACATGCGAAATTCATAATACATTGTTTCATTTTAAGCATATGTTGAGGATAAAAACATAACACATACTATAAAGATCTTTGAAGGGAGGTTAGTGTTGTAAAAGCCCCCAGTTGAAAGGTTCATGGGAAAAAAATCCATGGAAGGAAAGGTCAAAGGTTGAGGTAGACATGGTTTTTATCAAATGTCACAAGGAAAATGTTAAAGTAATTTCTGATCCTTACGCTGCTTTTTCTTGCTTCACTATGATCTTTTGCTTCATACATTGTTACTTAAATGATAATCAGCAAGATGAATAAAAGGAATACTTGAGATCAAGTATAATACGATTTCTGTATCTTGAATTGTAAGATTTCACAATCTCAAAAATGGTAGATAATCTGTATATTTGTGTCTCATTGTACATTTGTCATGGAATAAGATATTGTACATACATTTCTTCAGAAAAAATGTATATATATATTTTATTTTAAGGTATTTATTTCAGGAAAAAGAAAACTGAGTAATTTAAGTGTTAGCTGGTGATAAATTGTTAATTCATATGGAAAAAGAACTCTGAAAATGACGAAATGTTATTTAGGATTAGTAATAGGATTGGGATAGTTCTTCAACTCTCTCGTGGTATCTATTGATGTTAAAAAGATAGATTTGTCAGCATGATAGATATTTGTGTTTTTCCCTAAAAACTAAAGTGGAAATGTGGCAAGGAAAGAGTAAGCATATTCACCTAACCTCAAGACATTTCCTTCTTTCTCGTCGGAGGTCAGGGTTAAGGACTGGACAGCCCCTTGTCAACTGGGTGTCTGTGGCCAGTATGAAGAATCAGACACACCCTCGTAACTGTAGGCTCTGCAACACCCCGGATGCCTTCAAAAAGAGAAGAATGGCATATTCCAAAGGTTTCATTTGACAAGTAGATTGAGAAACACAAAAATTACTGAACATAAAATATGGAAATATTGATTTAATCTGTTCATCCTATTTTTGTTTTTTAATGATTTTAAAGATTTATTTATTTTCATTGGAAAACCAGATTTACAAAGAAAAGGCGAGGCAAAAAAAGATCTTCCATCTGCTGGTTCACTTCCCAGTGGCCACAACAGCTGAAGCTGAACCCATCTGAAGCCAGGAGCCAGGAGCTTCTTATAGGTCTCCCATGCAGGTACAAGTTCCCAAGGTTTTGAGTCATCCTCCGCTGCTTTCACAGGCCACAAACTGCATGGAAAGCAGAACCACTGGGACATGAACTTGCAGCTATGTTGGATCTTTGAACTTGCAAGAGGAGGGTTTAGCCACTGAAGCATTACAATGGGCCCCCAAATTTTTACTTCCAATAGGATAAAGAGTGGGAGAGATGAGAGAACCTTCCTATGGTTAAGAAGTCTAAGATTGAAGCTGCACCATTTCACATCTCACTTACTAGGTAACATTAATTCTAAAAGCAATTCAGATTGATATGTTTATCTTTTTTCAAAAAGGAAAAACAACAATGAGATGTTTAGCTTAGTGACTAAGACCTGCAGGCTCCCCATCAGAGTGCTTGGGCTGAATTCTTGGTTCTCACTTCTGCTGATAATTTCCTGCATGTCAGATTCTGGGAGGCAGCACTCATGGTCCAGGTAGGTGGATTCCTGACGGCTGCATGGGAGAAGTGGATTGAGTTCCTGACTTCCTGCTCAGTTTCTAGTGTGGCCAAGGTTTTGAAATATTAAAGATTCTTTGAGAATAAGCTGTGATCAGGAGTGGAAAAAGTCAAGGATTATTAGATAGTGGTGGGTTATGGGTTATGGGTTATGGAAGAAGCATTTGTCTCCAGTTGAGAAATTCAGCTTGGCTGTGCACTGAACGACAGGAGCCGCAAGACATTCCAGTTCCAAGGCCGGAGAAACAGCTGCAATCTCTGTTTGTAGAAAATCTGGCTAGTTGAAGATGATAGTTAAAATTCAAAACTCTATCTTAATGATATCCACCAGAGATTCTAGGTTAAGAAAAATTATGATTCTGGAAATATGATTTTAATGACTGAGTAGAAAAATAGAATTTTTGGAACTGGGAGGCACATCAGCTGATTTTTAAAAATATTTATCAATAACAGAGGGAGGAGGCATGTGCTTTGCTGTATGAGGCTCAGGCTACCTAATCTGGGATACTTTTATACCATAGGGGTTGAAACATTTACTATTATTATTATTATTTTGGCAGTCTGACATTTTCAAGCCATTTGATTTAAGTCGAAACTGAAGAGAAAAAAGGATTTCCCTCATTAACAGTTAAAAATCTGATCATGCTTATAGAACCAGTAGTGGGTGGAAATTTGACCATAGACAATTAAATGATCGATTTTATTTTATTCAGAGTTTTTCTGTGATTGCTTAAGTGACATTTTAGGAGATTCAATCAAACACTGTGAGTTTTCTGCAATGATTGGAGGGATCTGACATCAGAAAGAGGAGTCTGAGTCAGCAGGGTTTGGAGAGAGCCACGATGAGCGCTTGAGCAAGCCAGGGAATCTTGTGAGTTTCATACTGTGGAATGTGTCAAGTGATACCACGGTCAAAGTGTGGGCTGTACACGTGAGCTGTGACTGCTCGGAGCTCTGGCTGACAGTAAGGAGGAGGTGACAGGAGGGCATCAAGGTGAAGCATGACAACACCGTGATAAATGTAGTTAACTACCTTTTAATGATAGTGTTCGGTCCTTGGTATTTTCACAGATGTAACTATATCATACATTGGTATGAATCATAAAAGCATAAAACTTAAAGTTGAATGATGTTGAGTGATATCTGAATTTGTCTCACAGTGGAGGAAATGGAGAAATGTAAATATCTGAGGTCACACTGTACATAAAGAAGCTGTTCAGGCTGTAAAAGTGACTTAGTACTTTGATTCCACATAATTGAAGTGTACCGCATTGAACTGATAGTGAAGAATATCTCCTGTCATTTGAAGAGTATCTATGGAGTTTGTCCTTTCAATAGATTCAGCTTTTAATGTCCTTTTCTTCTCCACAATTTATTTGATTAGAAATAATAATAATAATAATAATTTCTAAGCAATTTTTCATTATATTTATTACTTACATTGCTTAAAATTTTATCCTTTTTTATTTTTTAATATGTCATCATTTGTGAACCATATGTTCATTGCCAAATTAAATATTCACAAATTTCATTTCCATAAACTTAATGGAAATTTATTATTACTTATTCTTGCTTATACAATTATATATTAGAACTATACAATTACAGTGCTATGTTAATGAGATTAAACAGTCTTGTCCCTTTCTTCATTAGATGAACAAGCTTAGGATTTGGGAAGTTTAAATGAGTTTTCTACAGTCCAATATGAGTACTTCAAAATTTCTTGGAAAAATTGACATTAAATTGTGTTTATTTTTTCTGAAAATATGTTAGTTTAATATAAAAACTATGAAATACATATTTATTTTTATGGCATACTTTTTAATATGAAATGCTTCATGAATTTGCATGCTATCCTTGTGCAGGGGCCATACTAATGATGCTTGCATCATTCCAGTTTTAGTATATGTGCCGAAGAGGGCATCACACACATTTTCTACTCTCTTTTTGAAGACTAATGCTATGTACGATTTAAAATTTTCAGCAAAATAAACTTATTTATTTATTTAAGATTTATTTGTATTTCCATTGGGAACTCAGATTTACAGAGGGAAATAGACACAGAGAGAGATTTTCAGTCCACTGAATCACTGCCCAGGTAACCACTACAGCTGCACCCACCAGAAGCCTGGAGCCAGGAGCCTCCTCAGGGTTTCCCATGCAAGTGCAAGGTCCCAAGATCTTGTGCCATCCTCGACTCCTTTCTCAAGATACAAGCAGGGAGCTGGATGGAAGTGGAGTAGTTGTGACATGAACTGGCTCCCAAGATGAGGACTTTAGCCACTAGGCTACTGTGCCTCGTCCCAAATACTCTCATTTTAAATTCAGTTTTCTAGCAGCTTTTTGAAATACTCTTGAGTGTACTAGAAAAGTAACTTTATGAGGTTCCTTAATTCCCTTGGACTTTGCTTTTCATACTCGCCAACTTCATATCAGATTTTTATAAGCATCATATTTTTCTTTGGACAAGCAGATACCAAGAATGGGAAAATCTAGCAATACTAGAAAGTTTTAGATAGCAATTACTTGACTACTATCAAATGCTATGAAGAAAAACATTGTTTTCCATGCTAAAACACCCATATTAGCAAATTCTCAATGAGTTATATAGACATAAACTTTCACACAAAGTTAATTTATTGCCCTTAGAGCTCTATTGCAACAGTGTCAGCAGTAACCACAAGAAGAACCTTGACTGTAAATCCTTTCACTGGGGAAATAACTGAGTGTTCTTCTCCTGCCTTCTGGAACAGTGTCAAAGAAACTGACTTATCTAACCATCATGTCCTGGATTTACTGACGAGCCAGGGAACCTACCATGATAGATGCGAGCAGTATGCTCTCTTGTGTGTCAGTGGAGGCTGGTGGGAAACTAGGCAGGAAGCGAGGGTTCTTGCCTCCACTTGGTCATGTTAAACAATTTACCCTCATGTTCCATAGTGGAACATATCAGAAAATGCCATGGATGTTTGAATAGAAAATGTTAATTGCATGCAGTTACAATACACAATTCACTTTGCAATGGAAACCGACTCAGATATCAGGCACTAGGAAAATTTGCACCTAAATGAGAAGCCCAATTGTTAGATGCTAATACTAAGATGACAGAGGTGCTAGAATTATCGGCCAAAATTTTGAATATAGCCATACTAAAAATGATTCAACAAACATTTACAAATAATATAATCAATAAAAAGCTAGAAGACCTACAGAAAGGTTTAGAGTTTCATTTAAAAAAAAGAACAGAAAAATATTAAATGGAAAGTTTAGAACCTATAGGCCTAATAATCTAAATAAAAATCTCAACGGGTTGGTTTGATGCAGAATGGAGAAGGTAAGAATGAGTCATTGAAACAGAGGATGGAAAAATTTAGATTTTCCAGACCCGACCAAGAGAGATAAAACAGACAGTAAAAGAACAGAAGTTCCTCAGGGAGTTATCGTGTTATAATAATGGAACTAGCACTTGTGTCATTAGAGAGCTAGGAGGAGAGGGGAAAGGAAGTGATGCTGGAAAAAGACAAAGTGGTGATTGAATGCTAACAAAAACGTAACAGTAAAACAAAATCAAAACATTTAAAATAAGTGAAATAATATAGAGCATGGGCTCAATGACAATGCAATAAACCAGAAAAGACAAAAATTGTCATTATCAGAACTGAATCTTCAGATATCTAAAGAATCATAAAAGAATCCTATGAACAACTTCACATGGATAAGATGGGCAACATATACAAAGTGCATAGCTTTGAACTACAAAGAATGTTGAGCTCAGATATGAAAAATCCCCTTTTTTTCAATTTGTGAAAAAAAAAAACATGGCCATGCTAAAAACTGTTTAGCTTGTTTTAAAATGGCAGAACATAAATATTTTGGAGACTCACTCTGGTTTTCCTGGAAATGTCTCCAAACCTTTGACATGCATCATCTGTGTTAGGCCATCAAGGTGTTTTCAGTAAATGACTTCACAGGCACCAATTTCTATGCAAACTGCTGGTAACTGCTACTCTGCACTGCTGCCTCCACCCCATTTTAAAAGTTAAGACTAGAAAAAAATGGAATGGATTAAATAAATATACTATGTGCTTCTTTTACTAAAATTTATTCAGAAATGCATTATTTACCAGCTGCATTTTGTATTTGGGGGCGGGGCTTTAATGAGCACGTTGCTTGGACAAGCACATGTGCTCCCATGTGAAGAAAAGCTGATCTAATAGCACTGTGTGCTGTTGAACCGTTTTTATGGCACTGATTAGCACGGTGTGGGTGCACTGGACAAAGATCAATTTCAAACATTTTCCGGAAGATTCTGTTATCATGTGTCTTGTTGGTCACTGACCACAGCTTCATATCAAATATACTCCAAAAAATATAAAGTGCATACTTTTATAACTTGGTGGACTTCATAGCTTAACACGAAGAGGCAGCACAGAAATGAGGAACGTGTGCAGAGCGAGAGCCAGAGGACTATTTTTTGGGAGCATTCAGGCGATTTCTCCATAGTTTGTTTAATAAGTCTGTGAGAGTGAAGGGTGCCACCTGCCATGAAGCTTCCAGTAACTCACTGACATGCAAAAATGCCAGAAACAGTAGGCTGCTCAATTCAGACAAAATTTGCCAAACTATAATCAAAATGATTCCATAATTTAGTTATTTATGAAAACGATGTGTACCATAATTAAAAATTTTAGAAGTAACTTTTTTCAAGACAGCAATATTTATACATTAAATCTCAGTAAAACAAAACCGGTGCATCATGCATTCCTTAGAACTCAGAAATATATAGTCTGGCATGCTGAATTTTAATTTTAAAAATATACAAATTTAGTTTCTCAAAAGAAAAATAAAATAATAAAACCTTGTTTTGTCTTTGTATTGTTTTTTCTTTCTTTTTTAACAGTTAAATGACCTTGAAAATGCTCACAGAATTTTTTTTTACTGTAATAAAATGCATAATTTTTTGAGGTAAGGACACCAATATAAAAGTGATACTGAGTTTAATAAGGTGACTTCTGGAATATTGGCATATGAAGGAGTTCAAAAGGTTCATGGGAAAATTTTGGCTAAGGATAAATTTATTTTGATGCAAACATTTTCTAAACATATGCATTGTTTTTTAAAATAGTACACAATCCTATGAGTTTTCTGAAGATGTTTTATTTTTATTTTCTTTCACTTCATTATCTAAAATAGTAAATCAAAATTAAGCGTCTTTATTTTTCTTTATACTTATTCTTTTTGAATTCTGATTATAATATCACCAATATATACAGCAAATTCTTGAGTTTCAGAAGAGTTATCTTTAAAATCAAGCAACACATGATAGCACACACTTTCGTAGAAGAGAGTCGATGACTGATTTTTTAGGAAAGACTGTGGAAAAGAAAAGCACCATTTTCCATAGCTGTGTTCATCTTGTCAACGATCTGGTATCGCTCTTAAGCATACAGAACAAGCCGATTGGGAGCAAATCCGGAATATCTGGGGTTCGTAATGCTTATGTCTTTTTATCATCAAGAAACTTTGGTAAACACAGACACAGCGTCAGTGATACATTAATTTAATGATTCCATTAGGGCAAGCATCTCACAGCTATGGCAGGACTTATGGGCCTGGGCAGCAAAATTGGATGAGGCTTTGGTGTTCTTCACACTGTCTCTATGTTTAGTTAGAATCTAATTTGCATATGATAAAATGTAGCTACTTTAAATGTATCTTTGAATGAGTCTTTCCTATGTAGTCCTAGTGATGTAGTAGTAGATAATAATTGATGTTTCGAGATGGTATGCATTTATTTTTCTTTTGAAAAGAAAAAAATATTCTCTTTGTGAAGCAGAAGTATGCACATGGTAGAACTATATCATATAATTTATACACATAAACAAGTAGTTAGAAACACCCTCCTGTGGGCTGACAATAAGGTACAGTGGCTTAAGCTAGTATTTGCAACGCTGACATCCCATAAAGAGTTCTGCCTTGAGGTCCATGGTTCTTCTGAACCAACGTCTATACAATGCACCTGCAAATAGACAGAAGTCATGCAGCTGCTTGAGTCCCTGTGACCCTGGCCAGGGACAAGCTTGAGTCCCAGTGACCTAGGCCAGGGACGAGCTTGCGTCCCTGTGACCCTGACCAGGGATGAGCTTGAGTCCCAGTGATCTAGGCCAGGGATGAGCTTGAGTTCCTGTGAGCCTTGCCGGGGACCCAGGTTAGGAACAGGCTTGGGGCACGGCCCAGTTTGAACTGTTGCTGTTGCTTGGGTAGTGGACCAGTAAGTTCTCTGAGCTGAAAATCTCCTTCTCTCCCTATCTCTGTCCTGGTCTCTCCCTCTCAATGTTACTCTGCCAAATCAATCAACACTTATTCTGATGCTGCAATCAATAATCCTTCGTTGATTTTGATTTTTTTTTCAAACATGTTTCCAAATTTGGTTAAATTTAGAAATAAGGAATATATTTGTATTTAATATATTATCTAATTCTGAAATATGTACTTTCTAATTGTCCCCCAAGTGCTGATTATTTAATATCCATTTTATTTCACTTACATTATCTTTTGCCTGAATGAAAATTTACACCTCACTGCATATGTTTGTTCTAATAATTTATTTCTATTTGAATCTTTAACAATTCCATATATATGTATATTTATTTGTTTATGTATGTATTATGACATTTTCAAATGTTCTTGTTTTAGTAAATATGTGAGCACTTTCATCTAGTCTATTTTTTTCTCTTCGTTCAAATAATTTCTATAATATTGCTGGGTACCAGCTCTGGCTGTTTTGGGAGCTTGCAAAGTATGCATGGATCAGCGAGAAGACAAGAACGAAGAAAAATCATTACGGATCATTACGGCATGGTGATTTTCCCCAAAGATAAACTAATATTACTTAAAATATCAAGAATACAGAATTGAAAGAAA